GCGCTTTGCTCGATGGTCTGGGCTGGGATTTCGCCATTCGGGCAGGGGCAGTCTGAGCTTCGGGAGCCCTGCGTGTGGCCTCAACCTCTTGGGAGTTCCCTGGATCCGACGCGAGAGCTGAGGAAAGTGGGAACGAAGTCGAAGCCGATGCGGGGCCTCAAAACGACCCCTCCAGACTGAGGTCGACTGACGCTGTGGCCGCGCAGGCCAATGTAATTGAATCAGTCGTGTTGAGTGTGGACTGGCTACCAGCGGGCCGAAGTGCGCCAAGAGCGAACTCGACGGCCGCGGGTCACGACAAAAGTAGAGGGCCATTGGCGGGTAAAACACGCCGCGCAACTCCAAACTTCGAAACTCATGATGGCTAACGCCCAAATGGATACGGACAAAGATGATAACAACCGTATATGCGGCATGGGCTCACGGAGGGAAAAGGGTCTGCCCCGGCCACTCCTTCCAACTCTCCTGCGTGCCCTCTACACAAAAGAGCCACCTGTGAGGAGAGCTCCACATCCTTGCAGATGCGGTCTGGGAGGGACATCTCGGGCGGGGCGACCAGCGTCTCGAGTCTCACCGACGCTGCCAGCGCGCAAGGCACGGGCCAATCCTGGGAGAACACCGCCTACACGCCAACGCAATGCCCGGCCAAGCTCAACCTGGGCCCAAGATTGTGGAATAGGCCCTCTGGGCCAGCACAAACGGCGCACTGTCCCGACATCAATCTTGGGCGCAGGATGGGGCGGGCCACGTCTGGTGCTGGCGTATATGCACTTGGCGTTCCCCCCCCCCTCCGCTGGCTTCTCGTCGGACAGTCTCTTCAGAGCGTCCTGTAAATCTCCACGGGATGCAAAATTGGCACGTGTGTCTCGCAGCAGCTCCTTGTGCTCTGGCGTGGAGCAGGCACATCCAAGGAATCCAGTGCACCGCTTAAGCGCATCGCGGATGTCCCACGTGCTCACAGCAGGGGGAATATTGCGGAACATCATTCCGTTCATGTCTGGGTCGAAAGCGAAATGCGGAGACTTCATGTGGTCAGCCAGGAAACATTGGGCCCCATTACGACGGACACGAGTGCCTGCTGCGGCAGTGCTCAAGTGCAAGCCATCGTAAAGCTTATCTTGCATACTATTCACGAAGCGCTCGGCGTTCTGCTGCGCAGAGCTCTTCTTCAGGTCGTAGAACCGCAATGCAGATAAAGGATGGTACAAATCAAAAAACAGGCCGGTGCCCTTGATGCGCTCGAGGTCCTCTGCGTCGCACGCTTTTTGATGATCCTGTGGGGCCGCCCGACAATCATCGATGACTTGATATAGCCAATGCGCCAACACATGGTGCTTATCCGTCACCAACGGCTGGCGCGACAAGGTTACCCAGCTGGGGGCAAGGGTGGGGTGGAAGAAGCACCCAGGGTTGAGCAGGAGGATGATGTTCATGTGAAGGGCATTAAGATGGGTGGCATGTAGGCCGATCGGTGTGGGAGGGACGTTTCTACGATCGGCCTGGGAGGGATGCGGGACGGGAGTGGTCTGGTGATAGGCTGGCAGAAGATATAGCCGTGGAATTCGGGTGCGATGGAGGTGGGATGAGAGCGGGAATGGGGCGGGTTGGAGGGCATGGGGGTGCCACTCGGGCCCCGCCCGCGCGTCAGCCCCGTCCCTCCGTCCACCTGCTCCCTGTTCCGCTTCCGCGCGTCCGTTCGACCCTCCCCCTGCTGCTCTTGCTGCTGCTGCTGCTGCTGCTGTTGCTCCTCCCTGGTGGTGACCCCCCTGGGCACTGCCCGACCCCTGAGCTCGCTGCCCAGGCTGCGCAGTATTCACGCGTCGTGCTTCTTCGCAACGTGGGATCTCAGGAGGTCTGGACCCCTGCCCCCGGACACGCTTCTCATCCCGCATCGGCTTCTGACGGTCCCAGGGCCCCGGCGAGGACCCCCAGAGGCCGAACAGTGGGCAGAAACCGGCTCTCGTGCTGTTGTAGACGAAGCCAGGACGAGGATAGCATCGGGCGGGGATAAAAATCGAGCGTCTCTGAGATCCGGCGGCTCTGGAGGACGCCTCGGGCGCCGCGGTCTTCTCCGAGCGTTCCGGGAGGCTCGGCGAGAAGAGCACGGGGTCAGAAGCAGAAACGACGCCATGAACATATAAACTTTTTGTGCTCCGCGCGGATTTCTTGGATCTGCGATGGACCCCCCCCCCTGTCTGGCGCGCGGAGCGCGCCAGAGGCGGCGCTGGAGGCGCCGCCGGGAAGGCCCAGCCCGGATCCAAGAGATCCGCGCGGGGCGCCAAAAGTTGACGTTTACGGCGTTTTTGAGGGGGCCCTGGGACACACAAATAGATACACACACACACACACAAACAACAGGATTCCCCATATTCTCTTATCTTTTCTGGGTTTTTGCCTCCCCCTCCCCCCCCCCACACTTCCCATATTTTCTCATTTGTTCAAGGAAATCGAGGATGAACTGTCTCTGTGTGTTTCTTGCCCTCCTGAGTTCTTTCTCCTTCGAGGGGCGGCCCAGGTCCTGCCACCGCGCCGCGACCTCCTCGGGCGTCGCCGAGTCGTCGAGCGACAGGACGAAGGCGCGGAAGGAGAGCCTCTTCGCGATCAGGGCCTGCCGGGGGGCGGCCGGCGGCGGGGCGCGGCTCTCCCGGCCGCCCGCAGAAGGCAGGGCTCGAACTAGACAGGCCAAGGTTTTCTTATCCTTGGCGGCGCACACAAAAGGGGGGATGGAGGAAGGGGGGGGGGGCTTAAAAGGAGGAGGCTGCTTCTTAGCAGGCGCCGGCCTTGCATCTATGGTTAAGGCCCGCGCCTTCTGAGAGGCAGGGGTGCTTCTAAGAAGCCCTCCCCCCTCCCCGCACCCCCCTCTGCGCGTGGCTGACATTCCGCGTTTCGGCATTGGGCGGAAGGGGGGGGGAAGGGGAGGGGATCTGGCTCTGGACCTTTGCTTCACGCGACTGTTTGCAACAGTGCATCCTACGGGGGAGACTCCACCTGCTTGAAGCAGGCGCCAAAAACAGCCAAGATCTACTTCATGGGGGGGGGGGGAGAGGGGGGTGTGCGAGGGCCCGCGCCGATCGGCAAAACAATGAATACGAAAACGGTAGCCTGTGTTGTTTTCGTTTTTGTTTCGTTTTCGTTTTCCTTCGTTCTGTCTTCGTTCTGCTTTTCCTGGGAAACGAATACAAAACGAAACCCGTCCACGAGATCGCCAAGACACCGTTTGGCTCGAGCCCCGCGCAAAAGGGGATGGTGGCGGAGCGGAGTGGATGGTACGCATCGGCGGCGCGCCGAAGGGGGGAGGCGTGAGGAAGGGCAGGCCTTCTGAGAAGGCGGCGGGGCTTCTCAGAAGCCCTCTGGCTCTCTCAGCGGCCCTCCGTGGCTTCTGAGAAGGGCTCAGAGCGCTTCTCAGAAGGCCGGAGGACATCTGAGCCTTCTGGGATGGCCCGCTCCCTCTGCTTCTCCCTCCTGGGCGCGTCGCCGAGAGGGGGGAGCAGGGATGCTGCCTCCTGTGAGCGCGCTGCGAAAACAAATGCGAAGTAGCCAAAGCGAAAGGGAGTTCAACGATGCGGGGACTCGACCGCCTCCTTGCCCTCATCGTCTGCGTCCTCTTTGTCCATTTCATCTTTCTCGTTCTTCCTCCCTGGGCGTCAATCCCTGCGCGTCTGCCGGAGAGAGGTGCCCCAATCCACCGCAACTATCATAGCCGGGGTCTGGTATCCCCAACCAGCGCTTGTAGAGCCGGCGGTGCCACGACAACTTGTACGCATGATCTTTACTGCGGGGTCTCGAAGGCCATACTAGCAAAATGGAGGCCCATGGCCCCTGGGCGTTTTAAGAATGATCTCGGTCCAGACTCGCAGCAAACACGGCCAAGGCGGGCCATGGGGTCCGATGGTGGTTATCTGGACGCCGAACAAAGAAGCCGAACACCTTGCCGTCGCAGCGCGGCAGCGGCGATCCGCACGCGCGCTCTAGCCCGCAGCAGGAGAAGACGACACGGACAGACCGCGGCCGCGGGCAGAAGGAAGAGGAGGGCATCACCCACAGCACGATGGGCATCGACTGGAGCGGCAGGGCGGCCTGCCTGGGCCGACCACGGCCGCACCCGGGGGCGCGTGGGCGCAGGCTGCAGCGCAGGACGGTGTCAAGAAGCCGCACCGATACCGGAGGGAGCCCGGCGAGCGGGCCCACACGTGGGGGCAGCACCCGGGTACTGTGAAGTCGGGCGTGTCCCCCCACAGGGGGATTTTCAACGAACAATAAAGGATACTCAAACAAATATTCTCAAACGGTAAAACAAATACTCAAAAAATAGTCCCCAGACTAGTTTTTTCGACTATTTCTGAATATTCCTCATGTAGAGGGACAGGCTCGACTTAAAGGGCAGCGTCCAGGTACTGACGGTCGCCCGGTGCATCAGGCTGCTGCCTGGGGGGCACGGGTGCGGCGAGGCCCAGCCCCACAGGAGGGGGGGCGCACTGGCTCGCGGCAGCAGAATTGTGCAAGGGCCCTGCTGTGCTGCTGGGGAGCGTCCGCGAGACAGGTGCGCTGCCGGGGAGCACGGCATCAGGTCAGACTGCATAGCTGCCGATGTACCTGCCGAGGTGCAACACCACCGGGCCCCACCTGCAGGGGCGTGGGGGCGGCGTTTGACTGGCGGACAACGGTAGGGCCGCACGACGATAGCGAGCCCGCACGGGCAAACGTCCTGAAGCTCGACGTCGGCACAAGGTACAGGTTTGGCTGCACGGGCGGGCAAGCGGGGGCGGGAAGACCCGTGCCCACAGAGGGGCAGGGCCGCAAAACCCCGGCCAATGCTGCCACAGCCCTGCCGCGCTGCTGAGAAGCGGCCGCAAGCAACTGCGCTGCCAAGAGATCTCAACACGCGCCATGACGGCTGCGTTGCCGAAGCCGTCATGGCGCAGTGCCAGGGCCCGAGAGGCGTGCGACGGGGCGCGGGGACTGGGCGGCCGCGCAGGCGGGGGGCAGCAGCTGGGCCAAACGACTGGGCTGCTGGGGAGGCGCCACAGGGGCGACCACCAATGCTGTGGGGGGCGGGCCGGCTGCAGCAGAGCGCTCTGGCAGTGGCACGGTGCCGCAAGTCTCGTGAGGTCCCCAGCAAGGGCGGGAGCGGGAGTGGGGCAGCCCGACTCCGTATCCGATCTTACGGTGTTTTTCGAACCTTGTGTTGTAGTCACTATGTATATTCGGACCTTGGGGTGTAGTGCGACCCTATAGTGCGACTCTGTAGCCCGCCCGTACATGCAGACGGCCACATCGCCTCCCCTCCCTCTGCCTCCGCATCCCGCTGCGCGCAGGCCTTGCTGGTGGCATCATCCGTGCCACCGCGCGGGCGCGAGGACGACCGGGAGCTCGGCGGGGACGCCAGGCGCGCCGGCGAGCTCGGCCTGAGGGATCGGGCGGCCGTCGGCAGAGATCCAGGGTCACAGGAAACCTGCGAAGGCGGCTTTGCCCTCTGTCAGCCCCTGGGGTGAGGAGGAGGAGGAGGAGGAGGAGGAGGAGGAGGAGGAGGAGGAGGAGGAGGAGGTAACGAGTCTTGCGATTAGAAATCTAGAAGACCACGCTCGGCGTCGAGCTTTCCGCCTCCCGAGGTGCCCCAGGGCTCCAGTGGGCCCCCACAACGATCGGGGGATAGCTCGCCTCCGTGGGGCGCGTGCCGGCAGGCCGGTGCCTCACTTCACGTGCCTGCTGTGCTCTCTGTGCATCGTTCGTCCCCCCGTCTCGGCCCTCGTCTGGAGCCTTTGGGGGTTGTCCTTGCATGATCATCGCCTCGCAGTGCGCACGTCCGAGGGCGCCGCTGAACCGGCATCGATGTCTCGAGTTGCGGGTCTAGTGCTGAGTCCAGCTGGAAGAGCGAGACACAGCTCATGCACAATGCAATTGGGCCATTCGTGCGGGTCGGCCGCGCGCGCATGTCGAATTCCTTCAAAAACCTTGATCGCTGGCGCGAAGACATCATCATCGTTATCGGCGGGCCTGATCAACGTAAGCGCCGTCATTGGCCCTGCCGTCGTCATTGCCATCATCGTCACCATGCTGCTCTCATGATCGTGTCTGCCGTTGTCGGTGTCGCCATGATACCGCGCCCGCTCAAGTCACCAACTCG